AGTAGTTTGTACTTGTCATTTGCATCCAGGTAACAGTTTATTCAAGTTCCTGCTTAACTACTGTTCTATGACGGTTTCTAGTAGAGGCTCTACTCTTAGTAGAGGCTCTCATTTTACTTCTGATTGTAATGATTTCCTAGCCTATGCTGGCCTTCAGGGCTTGTCCAACTCACTGTGACCACAGAACTCAGCCTTCTGTGTAAAGCTGAGTTTTCTGGGAGGTGAGCAGGCAGAGATTACATTTTATAAAACAGAAGTATTCATACAAACAAAATCCCCTCTCTCCTCTGAATGTACACCATTCATGCTTGTTTTTAAGGTTGAGATTCTATTTAATACTAATAAGAAAAAGTCACCCAGCCTGCATTTTTTTTTCTTTTGTGACATTTATTGACCGAAATTTGACTCCAAATTTGACTGTCTTCCTTCACATTCATGTTCTAAGATGTCAAATATTTGATGGAATGAGTCTTTTCCTTATGCTTCCCTTAAAAAAAGTTCTCTGACATTTGAAAGACAAATTTATAGTTGGCAGATAAAATAATGGACTTGGTTAGAGAATTTCTGTACATACATGACACTATATTTTGTTTTCATTAATCCCTTTCCTCTTGTTAGTTCTTTTCTGCCTGCCCCACTTTGGTTTTCATGCTACCTGTTCCAAATGACTTTACAGAAGTGGTATCATAGTCACTGCAAATTCTGTTGAGATAAAAAATATATGTATAAGTAACTTTGTGATGAATGACTGTAGGTAAATAAGTCTCCCTAGTGAGAATGAGGTCATGTGTCTCCTCTTAAATTTTCTCTTAAATATTACCTTTTAGTGGAATAAATGGCACTATACTATACTATCATGAGTAGAAGGAAAGTAGCTTAGAATTTTATTGCAAATAGAAATCTGATTTCTTACATTTTCTAGCTGTAGACACAGAAATGCTATTGACTTTTGTATCTTTATTGTGCTAGATTTACTCAATTCATAATACTTGGTGTTTTCAAAGTCACACCCATATAATAGAAAATGTTGTTTCATCATCCTTTTCAAAAGAACCTGATGCCTTGTAAATGTTTATTATATTGGTCCAAAGACTTCAAGAAGGTCAAATAATGGCTAGTAAGAGAGATCATGGCTGTTGTGTTAGGGTCTGTTACTGTGCACATTTTAATAGAGAACCATCTGTAAGGTGTGTGTACCTCCACGGTGCCTATCCTAGAGGTTACTACCCTGTTCTTGACAACATATTAGAAGTAATTACGCTATGGTTTACTTTTCTGTGAACAATTAGGTCTGACTAGTGTTTGTCATTGTTCTAGAAGAGTCCTTGGACATCATGAAAAGGTTGAAGCGAAGAGGGCAGGCAGGTCAAGTTTACTTTTATCTATTTTTAAACCTTCGAAAAATATTTAATGTTAAAAAGAATTTTTAACCTTTCAATAAGAATCTAATGTAATATGCATGCTATTTGCCTTTGCCATAAGCTGGGCCTGGTGGCACAGGCCTGTAATCCCAGATACCCCAGAGACTGAGGCAGGATGATGATGATGATGATGATGATGATGATGATGATGATGATGATGATTGCACATTCATTGCCTATCTAGGCAGCAGAGTAAGTTTAAGAGCAGTATGGGAAACTTAGATTCTATTTTAGAATGCTAAGTAGGCCAGCGGGATGGCTCAGTGGGTAAGCATACTTGAGAGCCTGAGTCAGTCTCTAGAACTCACATGGTAAACAACAGAAAACTCTTCCATAAATTATCCTCTGATGTTCACAGAAATGTGTGGCACCGTCTCCCCCAATATATAAATAAACAGTAAAAAAGGGCTGGGGATAGAGGTCAGCAGTGGACTGCTTGCTTAGCATGTGCAAGATATTGGGGTGATTCCCCACTCTTCCAGCCCCCATAGAAGCAAAACCTCTCTTGGGAAATGGGAAGTAGTTCTCTGGTAAAGTATGGGTTTAGTATATTTCAGTGCCTGGGTTTATTCTCTAGCACCCTATCTCCCCAGAAAATATTTCGCAACACAAAATTCTACAATAGCCAGATTCTATTTATCTTACTTTTACACAGTGATTTATATATAAGTACCATTAATACTGCTTTGAAAGTTTTTTTTTTAAATGAAAGCAACACAGTATTTAAGGATATACATGTAATTAAAGTGTATAAAGCATGGGCATGGAAGATAGCATGTCTAGCAGCAACATCATGCCTGCAATGCAGTAAGCGTTAACTACTAAGTCGAATGAGGCCAATACTAAGAAGACGGGTTTTCAGTTTCTAAGAAGAGTTTTCAGTTTCTTTTCACTATGATAGTCCAGGAAAATGCAGAATATGAAACTCATTTCTTGCAATTATGGAAGGCACTGCATCCCCTTCCTGATACACTGATGTTCCTGAACTTAAGATAGACTATATCTATAGAGCCATGATTTGAACATCAAGTTGTAATGCATTTGCTATACCCAATCCATAGAACTTTACAAAATATAAAACTGAATTTTATATAAATACTTATAACGTAAATAGAGCTTTATATAAAACTGAATTTTATATAAAATATAGAAGAAAATATAAGGACAATGAGTTGATGACTATTTTTTAGCTTCTCTTCTTACCTCTATTAAGGAATAGTTTATTCATTTAAAAAATTAATTTTCAGGTGTATATGTATGTTTCTGAGTGTGTATGTCTGTGTACTATGTGTGTGCAAGAATCCGTTGTGGACAGAAGAGCTATCAGATCCCCTGCAACAGGTGTTATGCATGGTTGTGAGCAAGCATGTGGATATTGAGGGTAGAACTTGGTCCTCTGGATAAGCAGCCTATGCTCCTAAACATTGAGCCCTCTTTCCAGCCTAGTGCCCTGTGCTTGAATCATCTATGGAGAAAATCAATCTTACTTAACTATTTGTGTTTGTATGTTTGTGTGTATTTGTGCACATGTGTGCATGGTTGTATCAGGAAGCTTAGAGATCACATATCAGTTGCATATAGGAAGCAGGAGGTACAAACTAAAAGTGAGGTGGGGGGAGATGGAAAGATGGCCCAGTGGTTAAGAGCACTGACTGCTCTCTCAAAGGACTTGAGCTCAATTCCTAGCACCCACATGGCAGCTAACAAACTGTTTGTAACTCCAAGATTTGACACCCTCACATAGACACTCATGTAGGCAAAACACCAGTGGACATAAAATAAAAATAAATAAATTTAAAAAAAAAAGAAAGAAAAGAAAGTGAGGTGAGGCTATAAACTGTTAAAGTTCATCCAAAGTGATATACTCCTCCACCGAAACTGCACCTCCTAAAGGATCTGTTATCTTTCCAAACAGCACCACTAACTGGACACCAAGTATTCAAATACACAAGCCTACAAGGAGCATTTTTTTTATTCAAACCATTACAGTCTCTGAACAAACACAACTTTGTGTATTGTGACTTTTCAAGCTAGTTAGTTCACAATACCACTAACTTCAATACAGCTATTCATCTTTTTGTTCTTGACTGTTTTTATTAAGAATCCAGCGGAACAGTTCGATTATTTAAACACAGGTAAGATTTAGAGACCTCAGAGGTCTCTATGAAAGTTTTTGCATCAGTTCTGTCTTATTAATTATGTCTAATATTCAGAACAAAAAATTATAGCAAAATCATAAATTTATGCAAAATGATTTTGAAAATGTGGGGAAACTCTCTATCCTAAAAATGCCTCAAGTTCCTTATTACTCTTTATCTTCATAGTCTCCTTCTATTCCATGGGAACTTGGTATCCGATCATGAGAACTATCAGTCTTTTATAATAAAAGGCTCACACACTTCTGACATCATTTAATCTGCAGCCTCCCTGAAGAGAGAACTTGGATTTATTCTTACTTTGTTATCTCTACTTTCAGCTCTAGGCATTCATCAAATGCTTGCTCATTAAAAGAAAAATACTTGAAAACCAAATATCACATCACTTGCTACAGGTAGTGGCAATCAAGTCTTCCAATTTAGTTTCTCTAACTTTTCACAGCAATTTCCAGAATATCCTATATATTTCCATTTAAAAATAAATATTGTTAACACCATTGGGCAAGTAAGACATATGGCAATATAGAATGCTTTGGTAGCACTATGGCTGTGACTTAAATTACTGTGGATCAAACTGCCAGAAGCTGAGAAGATAACTGAATTTTCCTCTCCCTTTATCCTGTAGTGAGGATAGAAGATAGCTGTATCATGCCTATCGATGAAAATATTTAACAATAAAAAACTGAAAACACTGCTTTATAACTTAAATAATATAGTCTTACTACCAAATGTTTTAGTCATAGGATCTCTTGGAAGCTTGAATGGAAGCAAACTCTAGGGTTTTAATTATGGATGAAGCCACACAATTCTGGAAGCATAGTATAGCAAGCAGCCAAAAATGTTACACATATGATTTTATTCCAAATGGGCACATTGGCCAAATGGTGAGGCCCTGCACAGTCATACACTTTGACCACCTACTCCATAGCCATCCAAAGAAGTCTGAGAAATGAGCTCTCACATGATGAACTCTGTATATTTTCTGTGGGTTCGTTGGGCAGAATCAAATGGTTCATGTTTTCGTGCTGCTTAGTTTTTGAGTTGGGTCTATACATATCACAGCTTAAGGTCTTCGAGGTCCTTCCTTGAAATGGAAGAATATGAAAATGTAAGGATACACTTTCTGCTGCTTCTTGCACAAAGGTGACCTTAATAGTCTTCCTGTCGTCATTGATTTTTTTGTTGTTGTTGTTGTTGACAGAAAGGAATTTAGCTCATGTAACCTCAAAATTTTTTTTTTTTTCATTTTTAAAAGGCAAGAATCCATATGCTATTTGCCTAACTAACATGGGCTTGAAAAAGACACTGGCTCATTAATTCTGTTTGTTAGTAAAAACAAAAAAATGATACGAGTCAAAATCATAAGAAGCATGTAAATACCTCAGGAAGAGGGAAACATCTATAGCCAAGTCATGGAACTTACCAGGAGGAGACTACGGTTCCTTTTAGAAGCAGTCTCAGTGCCTTGCAGGAGAGATGCCCTTTGTGTGTTCTGATCTCCAAATTTATTCTTCATTTTCTGGAGTAACATTAATCTTTGTGATAGTCTGGGGAAAAAGTGAAGATTATATAGAAAGGAAAAAATTGAAAAGCAAACATTTTATTGCTTGACCAATACATAACATTCTCAACTATGGCCTGTAATTGAAAGCCAATTATTGTGTCAACTAATGAGACAATGAAAAGTAGATAGTTTATTATGTCTTAAGTCAATCTGGATAAAATTATTTTTTATTTCATTAACATATACTTCCCAAATGCCAAAATACATGCCTCTGTTTTTTAGCCTCTATGGTCTTTTGAAATTATTTTAGAGTGTTGAAGATATGTAATTTTCTGTGGAGATGCAAACTGTAATACATAGCTCCTTGTCCACAGTTATAGATACCTCCCCACACATATACACTGCTCTAACTTGCTATAGGAAACCTTCTGCTTAGCACTTCAGTACCCCTGAATCTCATGTTACACATTTAGAATTGTGCTAAACTTCCATATGTTTGAAGAAGCAATAAAAATATTTTTTATCTCTTTTTCCAAGAGAAAGATGATGGTTTGATATGGGAGTGAGAGGCAATATGTATGCATTGCATGCATGCTAACAAGGTAAACCAGTGTTCGAAGGAATGAGTAAAAGTTATGAGTAAATTTTTTATCTACTTCATTAGAGATAATACACTTGAAAATTTTCTTGTTCATTTTTATAAGTTTTTGGATCCCCTAAATGATAAATGAAAACTTATGTACAATGATTAAAAATATATAAAGGGTATACAGAATATTACATAATGAGATAAAATAATAACAGCATAGTAAATATGTCAGAGGTTCTCAAAGAACACTGTTTTATAGGGATGTCTTGAAAACAGAACTAAAAAACTGAAGTAAATAAACTTTTTTTCATTTTTGTTTTATAAGAATAATATACTAGAAGACCAAAGAGAGCTCGGCATGGTGGAGCACACCTGTAATCCCAGCACCTAGGGAGGCAGAAGCAAGCAGATCTCTTGAGTTCGAGGCCAGCCTAATCTACAAATCCAGTGTAGGACAGCCATGGCTACACAGAACCCTATCTCAAAAAAAAAAAAAAAAAAAAAAAAACAAAAAAAAAAAAAAAAAAAAAAAAAAAAAAAAAAAAAAAAAAAAAAAACAAACAAACAAAACAACAACAACAAAAAAAAAAACAAAAGAAAAAGAAAGATGAGGAGGAAGAAGAGGAGGAAGAGCAGGAGGAGGAGGCAACAATGATGAAGATGACTAAAGAGCAGGACCTGATAACTAGTTAAACTACAGGAAAACCTGAGAACCCACAGATAGATGAAGAACACTAATATTAACTATAACATCATGACTACCTACATAATATGCTGGACCAAGTACAAAATGATTAAAGACTATGACACTGGGATTTTAAAGCAAGTGCAAAGCCTATGACTGTACAGGTCACATTCCATGAACATAAAGCCAGCTCTAAATGAAAGATTTTGCGAAGTCCACTGAAAGCCATGCTTGGAGCTAGAGAGGTGCCTCAGAGGTTATGTGTTCCTGCTGCTTTTCTTGAGGACTTGAGTTTAGTTCTCCACATAAAAAGTCAAACTAGCTGCAAATCTTAGCTCCAGGGGTTGTGGGTTCCCTGGCCATCTGTATTCACACATGCACATTTATACATAAACACACGATTAATTAATTAAAAGTAATAATAAAAGTTTAAAATTTTTAGTTAAAAAAAAAAAAAAAGAGCCAGGCATGGTGGTAACCACACTTACTCCAAGCATTTGGGAGACAGAAGCAGAAAGATCAGGAGTTCAAGATCAATTTTGATTTTTTGGAAGGTCAAGGCCAGTCTGGATTACATGAGACCCTGACTCAACCCCTGCCACCAGAAAATTTCTATTAAATACTAATGTGAAGTTTAGAAAGTGTGAAGGATGGGGCCATGTTTAAATTAATTTTAAAAAGTAAACAGATACATAGATGTGTGGAGCATAATTCTGCCTTTAACCTTCTTTTTAAGAGACAATGAAATTATCTACAATAAAATCTTATGTCAATGACATTCACGTTTTTAAGTGTTCCATGCATGTCTCACCAATAAAGCTGGCATGTACCCCGTATTTGGAGTATCGTGTTCAAAAACTTACATTGCTTCATGTCTTTTAGAAAGGTGAATTTCCTGAGTGAACAAGGAAGACATCTTTAAGCAAAGCTGGGCTATACGCTTTCTGCTAAATAATAAAAACATTTAGTTATTTTTTCCCATGTGTCCAGCTATGCAATTTGATCATTTAGTACTGTAACAACTGACAATTTCATGTATAATGTGAAAGAATGAACTCAAACACATTTTTATTAATGATTTTTTTTTTTCATTTGCCAGATTCAAAACACCATGGATCAGGTAAAGTCAACACATTTTATATTTCCTACCTCCACCCAAGCTTTAATCTTAAAGAGAATTTAAACAAACAAGCAGTGGGTACTAAGACTAGTGGACATTTTATCAGACAGGAAAAAAAAAACTATAGAAAAATTCAACGGAGGAATAACCATGGCCCTTAGGCGTGTGCACACACACACACAGACAGAAAGGCAAACAAGCGTGATAACCAACTGGAAAGTCATGCTCTTCCCTTCGCTGGAAGACGGCCCAGTTGTACCATCACTCTTCCAAACAAAGGAAGTATTTTTCCATGTGTAACTTAGGAAAATCTCAGTAGGTACTCTCATTTGGAGAGTGTCTGCTTCACACTCCACACCGGGTGCTGCCTCCCTTCGACTAAAGACCTTGCACCGTTCCAGACGGCCGTCTAATGAAGTGCTCTGAAAGGCTGAAAAGCACAAAAGTGAAAGGTGCCCCACATACGGGAGAAAAGCACACCAAAGACGTCCCGTAAAGAGGTTTTCCCAAAACTTTCTGAAATGAAACACTCATCCCTGAACCGCCCAGGGTCGTAGGCTGACGGGAAGCCTCAGCTTCTGGGTCAGCACAGGGACCCGGCCTGGCTGCAGCAGCTTCCTTCTCCCCGCAGGGCGGCCCGCAGCACTGCGGACAGCAGCCGCCTCAGGCCCAGCATCCTCGCCTTCTGCCCGGCGAGTTCTGTAGCCGAATAGAGCAGCGTCCAGGAGCCCCCGGAAAGCCATTCCTGGTGACTCAGTTCCTCTCCGGCGCACTTCAAGAAAAATTCTGCCTTTTGAAGGGAAGAAGCGCCCAACAGCCCTCCCACCTCCCGCCTTTCGTCCCCAGAAAACTCGTAAGGACCTTCATCACCTGGCTCTCCCCTTAATAGCTTCCTCATCAGCCCACTGGCCTCGGAGGCCAAGGGACAGGGCCACACTGCGCCCACCTCTGAGCTCTTCCGGGCACGCGCCACGGAGTACGCCTGCGCAAGACGTGGGCGCGGCCAGGCAGCCATCTTTGCGTGCTTTACGCTCCTGACGTCAGCGTCCTAAAGCCCAGGTTTCTGATTGTTGGGTTCCTCGGGGAGAGTGAGACTGTGGACGGTAGCCTAACGGGGTTAGGAGCCTGGAAGAAGGTCTGCCGATGCAAGCTTTTACACTTTGAAAAAGTGGGCTCTGCGTATGTTAAAAAGCCTTCGGGGAGGACAGCTGGCTTCCCGGAGCCTTGGGATGTTCCAGCAATGTGTATAGAAGACGTGGGGGGCTGAGGGGGCTTCCGAGCCTTCTAAGAGGCTTGCCATTCAGTTCATTCATCAGGTGGCTGCAGAGTGGCCTCTCGCCCTGGGCTCCACACAGAGCAGTGTAGCAAGCGCACAGCTTTGGGTTCTTTAGCTTCCGGGCCCCACCCCCAAGGGGCGAAAGTGTGCCCTTAAGCAGCATCATTTTATTCCCTGAGATAACTGTGAGAGAGTGGTACTGTTCATTCTCAGCTCATAGAAAAAGACAGGGAAGAGTGATAAGTTGGCCTAAAGGTTACGAGGCTGGTAAAGGGTAAAACGAACTTGAGATACTTAAATGAGGTTTTCCTCCTGTATTACTTATGGTAAATTTAGCACCTACTTTTTAGACCATTTGAACTCAGTGTCTCCTTTGTTTTGAAGCCTCTTTGCTATACCCGTAGGTATTTTCAAGTCTTCGTATCTTTTTGTTTTAATTTTCTGAGACAGAGTCTCACTATGTCGACCAGGCTGGTCTTCGAAATCACAGTTCCCTGCCTCTGCATCTAGTTCTGGGAGGGAAGGCATGGGAAACTGGGTCCAGCTCTTCCTATCTTATAATGCTGCTTCCTCAACAGTGTTCTTTCAGCCTTAGTATGGACTTTCCCACTTCCCCTAGCTACGCTCTTCTCTACAACAAGCAGCATTTTGTATTTGTAAAATTCCCTTTTAATTTGTATCATGTGTATGTGTGTGTGTGTTGGAATGGTAGGCCACAGTGTGTATAGATGCCCTCAGAGGCCAGAAGAAGGCTCCAGAACGCCTGGAGACTGTTTATGTGAGTGTTGTGATGAGAACTCTGGTCCTCTGGAAGAACAGCCAGAGCTCATAACTGCTGAGCCTTCTTTCCAGCATCAAGGAAAACGTTTTTGTCTTTGATTTAATATTGTATATTTTCTAACTGAATGAATGGAATTCTTTTACCTGCTGAAATTTCATCTGATTGCTGAGGCTATGTCTTTGGCAGATTTTTGCTGATACACTGCTCCACAACTTTCCCTCTTTAAAAATAGACCTTTGAATGGTTCTGTGTTCTGGGCTTCCCCATGAATAAAAAGAGCTTTTGCATGATTATGAGGCATTCTTGTTTGTTTTGTAGACTTTATAAATAATTCTTAAATTGGTTTTGGACTGAATGAACATGTCTCTATTAAAATGTTTCCATGTTTCTTAAGACAAATTTTATGTACTCCCTGCTTTGGGTAAGTTTGCATAGCAATACAACTGGAAGAAACCTACAGATTTTCCTCAGAGCCCCATCTTTTTGAGTCATTGTCTCCCTTACAGTGGAACCAAAGGATAGTATGTAAAACTTGTGATTTTTTTTTTAAGGACACAGTAACCAGAAATGTGTCACAGAAACTTAAAGATTATCTAGATATACTGTGATCATTTCTAGCAACCTATAAAAGTGCTTCCTTTCTACTTAAAGACTGTCTTAGCTTCTCTCTTAAGACAAATCATAAGGATCACTGCTGACCCTTTCCTTGAGACAACTAGCTGTTGAGGACAAATTTTGGCAACTGCATGGTGCACCAAGTCACGTGTAGTATCTGTATTTTATTAGGTAAGTCTGAATGTTACTGGAGTGAGGCACTCCTGTTCTACTCTGTAAATCATTGTAATTGTCTAAATAGCAGCTGACCCATTGTGGGTTATTTTGTACATATGTAGGGAATAGCCTGATTGTATAGGAATTGTCTTTTTAAAACAAAACAAAACCGTGTGTGTGTGTGTGTGTGTGTGTGTGTGTGTGTGTGTGTGTGTAGACAAGAGGGCATCAGATCCCGAACTGGACTTGAATCCTCTGGAAGGGCAGCAAGCACTTTAAACACTGAGCCATCTCTTCAGCTCCTAGAGTATTGCCTTTTAACTTGTACATTCTGTAAAGGTGTAGGTAGCGTAATATAATGTGCCCGTAAGAGCCTACTGACTGGCTGAGCTCTCAAGATATACCAGAGGATAAGCCAGAGGATGGCAACTGATAACATAAAATGGGTAATATTTGTAATGTTTATTCTGTAGTGGGCAGTTGGCATGGATTCCACCTAATCTTAAACAGGATGGTGAATTCATATATTGTTATAGCTGAAGAAATTGAGACTTGGAGAAAGAATAGACTTATGATCTCACTCATTACAAATGAATATCAGCTTGCTTGGAGACTTTTTCCATACGTGAAAGACTGATTTCTCTAATGGAATGAGAAATAAAAACTTTAAGCAGTTTCTGGCATTAATTAGGGGTTACAGGACATTTGAAATTTCTAGCTTTTCCTTATGGTTAAGCTATTGTAGTCACTTTTAGAAGTTTCAGTGCAGGATGCGTTGGCGTTTGTGACTTTTGGGTCTGTGGTGAAACGGTACATTATGATGAGACCACATGACAGGAGAATGTATACTATGAAACCATGATCTAGAGAGAGACTATGCAGCTAAGAGTATAATGTGGAGGGTATGGTTGGCCATAAATGAGAGTGCTTTGAGAAGATTAGTCTGGACAGCATTTTGAAAAACTAAGATGGACTTGGAAAATTCAGTGTGTGTGTGTGTGTGTGTGTGTGTGTGTGTGTGTGTGCATGCGGCGTGCGTACGTCCATTCTCGCTTTAGAAGTCTCTCTCTGTGCGACAGTGTAGTGCTGCTGGTGGGTTTCCTATGGGGAGGAATCAGTTTGCACAGAAGTAGGTGTGTATTGCGGTGTGTAAGTATGTGTGTATGTGTGGTGTGCGTATGTGTGGTGTGTGTATGTATGTGTGTGTATATATGTATGTATGTGTGAGTGTGTATATGTGATATTTGTGTGTGTATATGTGTGGTGTATGTGTGTTTATGTGTAGATACGTGTGAGTGTATGTGTGAGTATGTGTGTGTGTATGCATCTACGCTGAGACTCATGGCATAGAAAATATTGAGAGGAATTCTTTCTTTGAATTTTTCCCAATCTTGTAGATTGTATTTCTGGTGCTAGAGGATTTTAACACAGAGGCGTGACAGTATTAAACAGAAAGATTATCAGAGAAGGTGAGTCTAGTGAACAGAGAATAGGAGTGAGAACAAGGAAGAATTGATTAAACTGTCAGAGTAAGAACTTTACGAAAAAAAGGAAAGAAAGAATTCTTGACTATTTCCAACACTCCAAGGTACTAACAAGAAATTCTGGTGTATATGTTAATCCTGATATTTACCAGAAACACCAACTCCACCATTTTGGGCCAAATTTAAAGCAAGCTTTATTAAATATTAAATAGTGACTAAGAAATGGACTCGAGTCGGGGCCATTCCCTGGAATTTCTCAGCTGGAGTGGACCCAAGATATATGTTGTGGGGCTATTGCACTTTCTCATGAAGCTTAGTTATTTTTTAAGAACTACAATTCCCAGCGTTCCAGGAAGTTACCTGGTTCCTGAGCAGGTGGAGCTTACAGGTTAATTTTGGGCATTACTCATACTGCAGAGATCTTTTTGGAGACCCTTTGAATGTATCATGGATAGACAAATGTTTTAAAAAATAGAGAACTCATTACTTAAATGGGGTTGATTTTTTCTTCTTGTTTCATGAATTTGGTAAAATGGGTCCACATGTCTGTTTTTATTCCCTTTGTTTCACCATGGAAAATATTTTACACTCAAAATAATGTTTTAAATTAGATCTTGATGGATTTTGACCAGTGGAAAATTTAAAGACATATACCTTTTTAGGAGCTCTTACTAATGAATCAAGTATCTGTCTAGGTCCAATCATACAAAATGCTACAATAGAGAAATCATTATCACACCTGTGGTTGTAGACATTCTTGGCTGAGATAATATGATCTTGCTGATAAAACCATGCTTAACTCTAGATATTTCCAGTGAGAGTATGCATATGCCCCTTTCCTCCTTGGGAAATGGAAGTGAAATCTCAGCAGTTGTAAAATTGACTGGAGAAAGCATTAAGATTTTTACCTTTAATGCATATATAGCAAGTCTTAGTGAATCATTTATATATGGTATACTTGTTAAATATGTATGCTGCTCGTTCCCCAAATCCATTCATTTAGAGTTCATACAATCTGTCTGTCTTATTCTGATAGCCTTCCAGCTGCCTATAGTCCATAAACATTTTCCAGTCCTGGGTTCTTGATTTTTCTACCGATTTCTTATACCTACCTACTAGTCCACAAATGTTTAACACAGGATTTCTTTAAAGTGAGTATTTTCTGTTCATGGCCTTCCTGTTTATTACTTTCCTTGAAGTTTTGCTCTTTTACAGCCCTGTGGAAACTTTATCATTAGTTAGCCAATGAGCAAGCAATTGACAGTTGGTAAGCATTGTCTTCTGCCTTTCACAAGCTTTCATAAACTATAGTTAAGTTTAGTGAAAACATTCAAAGCTCTGAGTATCTGAAAAGATTTTTGTTTTTGTTTTTTTGTTGTTGTTGTTGCTGTTGCTTTTTTAAACAGTATTATTTGC